GCTGTGGAAGAGTTCGGGTCTTAGGATGTTAAGGCACTGACTCATTCAAGCAATATACGTCACCTAACGAACAGATGAAGCAGTGTTGTTTCTACACATAACAGACCACTTAGCAACTTAGAAAATCCATTTCTATAGACCTTAATGGATCAATGAATCCAAATGTGAAATTTTTGGTTAAATTCGTCAATATTTGTGGAGAACAACAGGAGATACAGCAGTGATTGTCTACAAGCATCTGTAAGACATGATGGAGTAAAACATGATGCAGCCCTTATGGTTTGAGACTGCATTTCGGCAATCTTATGAAAATTCGTGGAACTATGAACACAGAATAGTACCATCAGATATTGATCCACCATGTAAAACCACCTGGGAAGCATCTGATTGCCAGCAGCTTCATTTTTTCAGCACGACAGTGATCTCAAACACATAAACGCCATCAGTCAGGGATTTGCCTCCCCATACACCAAACATTGACATTATTAAAGCAGTGTGGGATCATCTAAAAGCAGCCAAAAAGAGCTTTGAGTGTGCTTCAAGAAGCCTGGTGAACTACTCAAGGCTACTGAAAGAAAAGACAAAAGCTTGGGTAAGAGAGTTAAGCATGTGATGATGAATAAAGGTGGTCATACCAAATATTGATTTTCTACGCTCATTAGAACTATGCTGTTACCTCATATACTGTGTTTCCATGGCTGTTTGCACATAATTCAATAAATCTCTGTATTTATTTCAAATTTCTCTGGCAAAATCTAAAGAAATGATGGGTGATACAAGACTTTGACCCAGTACTCTGTTTAAATCAAGATAAAAGAAATTGGTTTTCCATGTTGTGGTCCAGGCCCCAGGTGTCTTCCCTTTCCACCGCTCACTATAATTCCTCCAGTGAGAGGCAGAGCTCTCAGACCGTGGCCATCTATCAGTACTCACAGACACCAGACAGCTCCCTGTCATCTCAGGCTTCCTGTTCTGCCTCCTCCTACTGGGATTTCTCTCTCCAAATGCAGACTGAAGCCTATTATCAGTACTCACAGACATATTCCCACAGAAAGTGCTCTGAACCCCCTGCTTACAAGTCCAGCCAGTCTCTGTCATTTTCTCAGCATGAGGTTCCTGAGACGCCAGCAACTTTCTGTCATGGAGACAGATATACCCTGTCCTTCCAAATACCAGAGAGGCTCTCTGAACATGAAACTACACCACGGAAAAAGTAAGAGACAAAGCAAATAAACATGCAGTTTTATTGCAGAGACTACTTATGTTTAAAGGAATCCCAAAATATATTAACACTGCTTTAGGAATTGCACTTTGACATATTAAAACTATGCAAATTCGGGTGATATTAAGAGAGACATACGTTTAGCATGTATTGACACTGTTCTGGTGCTGATGCTTGGCAGGATGGATTTTAAAAAATTGTTTGCTTATTTTCTTTTCACTTGTAGCTCAACAAAAGAAATCAGACCACCTTTCATCTTGAATATATTTCCAGACGATGAAGCTCCTGACATCATGCTTCCAACAACAGAACAATCTAATTGTCATAAAGAGGAGCCTGCTGCAGTTTGTCATCCAGTATCGTCGTGTCTTAAAATATATGAAGGGAGAGAAAGCAGGACATCAGGTGCACAGACAGAAAAGGTTGGTAAAGACAGCTGGCATATTGCCACAAAACTACAAGACACCAGAGCTCCAGGAAGTCGATTAAAATGGAAGCAGCCTCTATCTGACCCCACTGAAGCAGCCAGTGGTGGAGCAGGAGACAGAGTTGTGCTATACCAGCAGTCAGAATCTGAAACAATCAACACTGGAAGGGCACATCTACCCCCTAGCGTCTTTATTACAAGACAGGAGAACTGTTGTGATGCACATTTGCCCAAGTTGATGAGAAATATAGTTGGGAAGGAAGATGAGGTGCTGATAGCAGATACAGAACATATCACTGAGCTGGGAACCAGACAGATTTCAAACATATGCCGTGAAATTCAAAACGCAGTAAATGAAGCTGCAAGGAAAGAGAGAGAAAATCGAGATGTGAGTGCACTTCACGCAAAAGGATCTGCCTATGAAATGGAGCGAGTTGTGCCTGTGAGAACCATTGAAGACACCACAGTTAAAAGCCATTTGAACTCATTAGACATCAGAGACGATTTTGTTGACAGTGGCACTAAAAGAGAAACACGTGGGGAGAATGAAGAAAATGGTTTAGAATATATAGTCAGTGCCTCTGAAGTCAATACTGAACACTCCCTTGATACTGAGAATAAAGCAACAACAGTTGAACATGAATATCCACAAAAGATCTCCATATCTTTAGGAAGTGGAGTCCAGGATGTGAGCCACTGCTACACTGAAAAGCCTCAGAACAAGGGTCAGATTGGGACCAACACAGCAGAGAACGACCACACTCAGGAGCAGCCTGAGGCCAGGAGCGTCAGCCTCCAGGACAACAGCGCTGAAAACATAGAAAAGACAGAGGTGATGGAGGCCAAAATGGAAGCTGCATTTCAGAATAAAACAATGGCAAACGCTAATCATCAGATGGCGCAGGGACAGTGTGAGACACATGATGGAAAACTTGCAGAGTTTCTCGGAATGGACACTGAAGAGGGAAAAGGGGGAGCAGACAGAGAGGCAGAGGAAGTGGCAGCTGTGGACAGTGATGTTGAGAATAAATCTGCAGGTAAGTGTGTTGCTAGTGATGTTTCTGTAATATGATTATCCTGACATTGAATGGGGTTTACTTATATTGGGTTTACCACCAATTTCTACCTTCATAATGGCTAATTTGAATAGGTTAATTCAAGGTTTACGATTGTTATGCTCAAAAGAGTGGCAATCACAAGATTAGTCCAGTCAGGAACAGTATAGTCAAAAGAAGAGAGATATTTCCATTTGGGTTAATATTTGTTGTACTAAATGGAGGCAGGAGGAGCAGCAACGTAAACCGAGCACAGATCATAGTATGCTACAGTGACAACACTTACATATCAGATATTAGGCAGGCACAGATTGAAAGCAGGAGCTGGTGTGGAGATGGGTTGTAAAGTGACTTGTAGATACACAGTAACTATACAGCAGCTTAAATAGCATGTCCTATTTGTTACAATTGGAAGTATAACGGAGGATTAGGTGATGTCTCAGGTGGAGTTTTGGCTAGCCTGAAATAAAACTATGCTTGATTTTTATAATCACTATCAGTGACACTGTCATATCTGTTGAATATGTTTGTTTCCCCTAAAACTCACCCCAGAGAGTGTGCGTTTAGATTTTGAAGGGCCCTGAAGAGACTGTAAAGTATAAATTTTTATAACATCACACAAACAATATGTAACAACATGTAATTAAAATGAAAGAAGTTCATTTCTCAGTTCTATAGAGTGTCTGCCGTATGATTTAACCTGGAAAAAATGAGATTAAAATAAAACTTGGGCTGTTTTAGCTATGGTTGGATTAGAAAAAGCAACTCTAGGGGGTGCTAAAGCTCGTAAAGTTGTGTCAGACATCAGTTCCAGTGGCTCTCAGCCATTTTTCTTTCTTTGATTTGGTACTGATGACATGGCAGGGCTGAAGAGACTCAGCATTGACGGGAGACTTTGTGCCTGCTCACATTACAGCTGCATGAAGGTGCTTGAGTCTCAGCTGCAGAGACAATGCCGGGTCAAGACCCATTGTACACACACACACACACACACACACACACACACACACAGGCACAAACACTCTCGAACAAATTGGAAGTTGTGTCGTAGCAAAACGTCAGCTTGATCTTAGCTAAGATTTATACTGTTGCCTGACCTTGTCCTATCACACACTGCTGAGGTGCCACACACACTGTGTAAGCATCCATACATGCTGCCTCAAACATGCTTACATAACAGAACTGGTTTATTGATTGAGGACTGACTTGAAAAGTGATGAACAGATGAAAAATGCTCTAACATCCTCTTCTAGGGAACTCAGAGGGAGAAAGGGCTGCTATGCCAACATTGTCCCAGGAGTGTGGGGCTAATGGGTCGGGGATTAGAGCTGCCCGTCTCAGTAGCAGCCAGCAGCAGCATGACAATGCAAAAGTAAGTTTCATAAGAGAAATGTTGCAAAATTCCAAAAACTGCTTTACATTGCAACCCTAAGTAATGCTCATAGGGCATAAATGCTGAGCTTAATTTATGCCTACTTAGCTCACATAATCAGTAAGATGGGAAGAGGACATGAAGTGTTTTGCCCATAACAAATCCGCTTTGACACTTCAGTTGGGTAGAAAGTGTACTTGCTAAGCTTTGTTGTCACTTGCAGTCTTTTACTTGTCCTTTTTCTTATACGTTTAAGTGATGTGTCTTTATTTCCCCGTTTCTTCCGCTTATCTCTGCGTCTGCTTTTTTCACTGAAAAACTAAAAAGTCCTAAAATTTAAATACGTGCTTTCAGGTTAGACCAAGGCTGCTGTGTCTCTCATTTACATAGATATAAATGTAGCTAGTGTGAAATAAGAGTTTTGTCAGCAGCACTGCAGCACACAACAAGTAATGGGTCTCCACTGAGTCATAAAGACCCGACAGAGTCGTAGTCCATGATACATATTAGCAGAAAAAGGAGAGCAAACTGCAGCGAGAAAGTGCTATAAAGGGAGTAAGGGAGGTGGTTGGATGGATGCATGGAATGTGGAAGAGCTAATGAGAAGGATGCAGCAGGAGAAGGAGAGAAAAAGAGGGCAGGACTTTACTGTATTGCTACAATCAGCAGCAGACACAGCAGTCCATTCTCCCTCTCTCTTTTCACTCTCTCCATATGCACCAGTACTGGGCTATGGGCCACGGTCTGCCTGGGTTTTCTATCTATATCCTGTAGCACAGCACCCATGAGGGGGGTTCATGACTTTGTCAGCAGGAAAACGGGTTGTGTTTACAGGGAAATGAATGAAGTCTCTCCTCAGGGAGCTGAATCACAGGAATTCCTACCTCCCGGGTCGACAGCCAACAACCTGCAGAATTATGCACATAAATACAGTCACATATCATCTCTGAAAATCCTCAGAAATACCCATCTCTCTATCGCTTGTCAAGACTTCAAAGAACATTTGCACACCTGGTGCTTTTGGATAAAAAGAAAGGAGTTAAAGATATGAATAATATACATTTTTTAAAGATGCCATTAAAGTTACAGGGAGGGGAGATTGTACTTGTGGTAGATGGGACTTGGGGATCATAACAGTTTTGATGTTATGATCATTTGTACTGATATATTGAGTTCAGCGTATTCACATTGTATTTTTTGCATTGAACTTTATAGATGTAGTTTTCAGGAATAGTTCTCGAGGCTCCTTGAAGGACATTCAAACCTCAGCATCTTTGGATGTTCTGGATGTTGGATGTTCTCAAGATGATCCCACACTGCTTCAGTAACGTTGAGGTCCAGGCTCTGGGGAAGCCAATGACTGAGCGTGTTCCGTAAATGTCAAAGCTGGGTTTGTCACTCCATAAGATCTTAGATTTTCACTATTTTCAGTCCAGTTCTTGTATACTTTGACAGACCACAAACTCTTCTCCCTGTTTTTGTTCTTTAAGAACAGCTTTTTGGCAGTTGCTCTTCCACTGAGACCATTTCTGATGCGGCTTCAGTGACCAGTAGATGGATCAGCTGAAGGATCTCTCAGCTTCTGTGGCAGGTCTTTGCATGTCAGGATATGCCAAGTTTCTCAGCTTTTTATTATCTTATTGGGGAAAAAATACTATTTTTAAAAGCATTTTTCATCAGTTCCAGTGAAAAAATTGAACAAATACCTTTTTGTGACAGGCTGCAAATATCAAAAAGAGCCTAAAGATGCAGTTTCATTCTAATTTGTTCATCATGTGTAGACAAAGCTGACTCTTTATGCTTAAATTAATGATACTTGGCTTAATACACAAATAAAGAAACTTGGTCAGTTACAAGGACTAGGCTGAAAATGTGTGAAAAAGCAGCCAAAGAAAAACTTTGGGAGACCTTCAGAAAGCCTGGAGAACTATTGCTCAACACCTCTTTAAAGTCTGGCTCCCTGGAAGAAAAATCTAAAGAAATGAAGAGTGACACAAGTTTTGCACGGCACTATTTAAATATAGACGATAAATACTGTATATTTATTATATGTATGCTGCATGCAATTCAGCTCTGGTACATTAAACCCTTTTTAATGTAACTATTTATAGTCAAACAATCATCGTCATTCAGCCAAAGAAGCAAAGTAGAGCTGCTATTATTGTGTGTCTGTGTGTGTGTCTGCTTTGTTGACCCTGTCCCAGCTTCAGGCAGGTTTGTCAGACAGTATCGCGGCTGTGTTTCTGTCTGGGACACAGTGCTCAGGGCTGACTTTCACATCCTTTTTTCTTTGGCTTCTCTCCTCTTACCCGTTTACTTTTCAGGCCTTCTTTTTTATGTTCTCTCTCACAAACTGTGTGATCCTGCTACGTCAAAGCGCGAATGGGAATAATTAAATTACGTTTCTATTCTAAGTGCTAAAACAAATCATGTCCAACTAGAAGTTTTTATTTCATTCACTTCAGTCCTCTAAGTAGTGAAGTATTGATGTTCTGTGTAACAAAACCTGCAGGGACAGCGGGAGTCTATTTCAAGTGCCTGCTTCTTTTTTTCTGTGTCCTTTGTCGCTCTCTGCACATTATTCACCTTTTTTGTTGCTTAGACCACTAATGGAAGCACCAGAGGGAGTAGCTCGAGCTTGGTACTGGCCCCAACAATCACTGTTGCGCCTGGACAAATCCTCTTCTCAGTGCAGGAATTGACTTCAGCTGTTGTAGCACCGAAGAAAGAAAATCAAAAACTAAAAAATTCTCCAAGTCATCCTTGCATGAAACTTTCCTTCCCCCTAAAGAGGAAACGTGAAGCATGTCAGCACGAAAACACTGACCCTCCTGCCAAAATCAGCCTAAGCAGATGCCCTCCAAAATGGGAGCCTCCTCGATCCTCACAAGAGAAACCAAGGGAAGGAAGAGTTAGGGAGTCAAAGAGTGCCAGAGAACCACAGGGGAAAGCAAGTCCTTCACATGAAACAAGAGCAGGGTCTGGGGCGTGTACACATCTAGATGCCTCAAACCCAACTCAGCAAAACAGGCAGAATAAAATGGAAAAACTATCAAGGGAATTACCAGGGAAGGCTTCCATTCACCCCCCACTTTCCAAACCACGCAAACCCAAGCAAGCTGCATGTGAAACCAACCCCACCACAAGTGGGCCCAAAGGTTTCCAAAAACTAGTTAGGAACAGTGAGCCGCCGACCCAATCCAAAGCTGGCTGTCTGGCTGCAAGCTTGACATGTGACCCTAGAGTAAAGTACTCTGGAAAACTTAAACCAGATGAGAAGGTGCAGATGCTTGAGATCGCTGGGCAGGCTAAGGTGTTGGTGCTAACAATGGTGTACCAAGATGGAAGCACTCAGTTAGACGCAGAACAGGTAAGGACGCAAAATGTTTATGATCTACGCAGTCATTAGTATGAAATAACATAAATACGTTAAGATAAATTAGGATTTGTGAACTTGAGACACATTATTTGATTGCGGGTAACTTTTATTATCTTATAGATCAGGTCCTTAATGCTGATTGGCTAAAGTCTTCAAGCTCACTTCTGCATTCTCATGCACCAAACCTCAGATTGCTGAAGGTTGCATTAATTAAGAAAACCAAAACTGCATCAGTCAGCTAACGTTTACATCTTTAGGGGCTCGGAAAACTGGCTGAAGCTTGCCCTGTGCCTTTCATCACAGTGTAAACTGTATACTCTTGTTGTTTGCTTCATCATTAACTTGCAGCCCCTGTGCTCTTGTAATTCTGCTTTTTGTTCCCTGATATAGAAGCTCACTCCACCAGCGTGTGGCCTCCTCATACTAATGAAGAACGAACTGGACTGCAGCACGCCGGAGGGTGCGCTCGGCCCAAACGACACTCTGGTCTACTTAAAACTAGAACACACACCTGCATGGGCCCAACAACAAGTCCATCAGAGCCAGCAGCTCTTTACTAGGTCTGTGCTTCTATATATGTGTGTCTAATCGAGATCCACATTCGCAAGTGTTTGATACTAAAGCAGGAGTACTTAAAGGTGTGTGTGTCCCACAGAGATATGCTGCTACAGGTGCTATCGAGATGTCAACTGGTGGTGTGCTATAAATCCAAGGATTTGCTGCGTACAGTTCTGCAGTTTTACAGACGAGACCTCAGCTGGAAACAAGGCATGACACAAAAATAAAAAGTTTCCCTAAAGACCTTCACGCATGTACACCTGCTTCTAGCTGTTTATGCACAACACTGCTTTGCAAATTCATTGTCAACATCCACATTTATCAAAGACTTAAGTAATGCCCCTATCTGTTTCTTTATTCCACGTAGTCTAGTGTCAGTAAACTATCCAAGCCACAAACAGCTGGTAGAAAATTAGAGCTTTATTCAACAAACATAGTAAAAACACATTATGGAAGCAAGGCAGCGTGGCGCTGTTGGAAAATGTTTCCATTAAAGAGCAGGAGTCATGAAAAACATACACTGGACACTTAGATGCTTGCACACGACTCCTACAGCAAACATATTTGGTCATATACAATGTGAACACATCCCATATTTTATTGGTGTGACTTTATATTCATATGCCAGTCCCTGATCAGTGTGGAGGAAACCAAATGCTGCTCATTATCATGATGAGCTTTTCTCCCTATGCAGTGGCAGGCTGTCATATCCAGGACCCACAGGTGTCAGGGTGGCTGCTGGATCCCACAGACCCGTCCTCCTGCTATCAGGAGCTTCTCCATAAATACTGCAAAAGACCCCACACATTACCCGCCCTGGGTGCCCAGAAAGTAAGCTTAAGTCTAAATTGGCATTTGTTACACTTGACTGCTAAGTAACGTTTCTATAGGACAAATTCTTAGAGCTGGAAGTGTTGTAAGCAGCGTTTTTGGGACTACAGCATCTAATTATTGAAAAATTTAAGGTCCACTGGGGTGCTGCAAACCTGCTTGGATCTGGACTGAAGAAAATCCACACGCCCTATATTTATGAAGAACGTTTGAATAGTAGAAAATAAAAACAAGGACTTTAAAACAGATCTGTGTACAACTTTTTTGAAACATGAACAAGCTAAAATGAGCCTGAGAGAAACTCCTTTGGACATATTCAACAAAAGCAGTTTTCTGGTAAGCTCTCTGCTCAGTGAGGAAGATATGAAGGGGGCTGAGTTATATTATGGGGCTGTTTTACTGGATGGGGTGCATTAACTCATTAACTCATTAAAGGTGTTATACAGTGATGCTATTGCAATCCTGGCTCCTTTTACAGTATAATAACCCACCACGTACATCTTAAACTGTAACATCAGTTTGTTCTGAGGCTGCTCGCTGTGTGTGCTGATCAATCTGAAGAGAAGAATCTGACTGTAGTACAGCACCTGTGTGTGTGTAACATAGAATAGGTCAATTCAGGACTCTGTGTGGACGTCCACGTGTCTCAGTTTTTTGTAACTCCATCTCGCAAGCAGACAAATCATGTTGAAAAGGGACATTAAGAATGAGTACGACGAGGGCACCTGCAAACAATTATAATCCTGTTCCTATCAAACTGAACAAAACTGCATCAAGGACGCTGGACCAGACTTCTGGCTATGGATTGTGGAAGGCTGATTAAGAGCCACAAAAGTGTGCGATTGCAGTGATTGCCTCAAGACGTTTGTGCCACGAAATGTCAGGTCTCGATATTTTTGCCCATTTCATTTTCACGTGAAAATTAAAAGGTCTGTTTTGTTAGATGTCGAATAGAAAAGAAGGTGATGCTAGTTATACTCTGACACCAAAGGATTTCAGCAGACAGTTGATGTTTTCATGTTTTTGGTGTTGTTTTTTTAACTGAAAAGATACTAATTTTAACTATAGAAGAAACCATGACTCACGAAGTACTTCTACACAACAAACCTGAATCATGTTCCTCCTCCCTTTTCTTTTTTCTCTCTTTTTGTGTCTCTCTCAGGTTTCTCAGATTATCTCAGGTCTCTGTTGGCTCTACAGGCTTAATATGAAGCTATGCTCTGAGCTACATGTAGGCAAATGCTCACATACAAACATGCATACACACACACACACACCAACAGATTACCTAACTGATAATTTGTGTGTCCAGAGCCAAGGGCTGTGGCAGCTCTACTCAGATATGGAGCTGAACATGATCCCTGTTCTGGCAGGTGAGCACTGCTTTACTTTTTTCCCTCCAGACACTCAGAATTGTTTTAAAATACAACGAAATCTTCTCACAGATTCTTCACCCCACACCCTGTGAGATTTATTGTGAAAAATATCCCTGAATAAACAGTAAAAGCATGTAATACTGGATGACAATTAATTTTTTTACTGGGCTCTTCCAGTTTTCTATATCCACAATAAAAATCTGTCAGCTGTTGAAAGATTTGCTGTTAATGAATCAATAAATTCTTTTTCTTGTTTCAGCCATGGAGAGCCACCGCATCCATGTTGACAAGGAGGCACTAAAGAGAACTTCAGACTTGCTGGGGGTAAGATGGCAAAAAAACTCTGTGGTAAACTGAATGGTTTGACTGGTAGATCTTAAACTTTCACAGAGTTATTAATAAATAAGAAAAAGATTTCTAGAAGAAAAATAACTACTGCCAGGAGTTATTGGCCTTTGCAGTAAATGTTAATCCCCAACCAGAATACATAAGTTACAGACTAATGCAAAACTGGACATGCAACAAAACCCATTGGGCCAATGCATTAGTTAACATTCATGATATATACTGTAGATATTCTGGTTTCTTTCTTATGTTTAAAGGCTGTTGTGTGATCATACCAAATACGATACTGTATGAAAGGCTTGAAAGTCACCCCGTATTTCTTTATGTTTTGCTTCCAAGGAGCCAGCCTGTCCGCTCATTTTTAAAGTGCTGTTGAGCAATAATACTGCAGGCTTTCTGAAGGTCTTTCAATTTTTTTAAAGTAGCTTTTTCACTCATTTTCAGTCAATTTTGTTTTCTTTAACCTGTTAAATCGTTCAAGCACAAAAGGACACCTAACTCAAGGGATGAACTAGTGTTGTGCCCATACAGAAAAGATAAATTAGCAAAGACCCAGTTTTAAACGTTTTCTTTAGGCATTTTGCTGATCTTCAAAGAGCTATTAGCTGAAAATTTGGAATATCTCAGCATGGTGTGCAGCGCCTCAAAAGACGTGTCAGGCCTAAAATGCTATCTACTTCAGACGAACAGTATGTGAAAGTTATGTTGTTAAGAAATAGGAAAAATCCAACAAAAACCTGACATAGGAACCTCGGGTCCTTCAGTTGATCCATCTACTGGAAGGGAACTCATAAGAAAAGGCTGAGGTATGTCAAATTACACAAGAGCTGAAAATCAATGGGAATCTAAATTGTCATTTTTTGGTTCATTTTATCCTCCATATTTATGAAAGAAGTCAGGAGTGAGGTACGAAAGTGAGCGTCTACAGACATCAGTGTGAACATTAAATAAATCTCTGCAACTTTTTCCTATTTTCCTAACAAAATATAAATAAATAAGTTCAAGACTTTCACACAGTATTTTAATACAGGCCAAGCTTAGTGTCTGGTTGACTGGGTCAGCTTGGATTTGTCCTGAGTCACTCTGAGTTGATTGTATTTTAGTCTGGCTGCTAAAGCATAGAGCTGTTGATAGATGCTGTATCAGCAGCGATGACAGTAGCAGGATATGAGAAACAGGACAGACCTCAGGGAGAAAAAAAGAAAAAACAAACAAAAAACATAAGACAAACGGAAAAATGGTATCTCGATTCCTTCTTCTGAGCAGATTTCATGAAGTGTGGGGTGGATGTCCTCTGGGGGCCTGTCCTGTTTACACAAAGAGTAAAAAACAGTTCTGGAGATGAAATCTGAGAACTGTCACGGATGCACAAAGATGTAGATGCAGATGGCATGGACAAACACACGCACAAAGAATACACAACATAGTCAGTTTAGTTTCAACTCACGAGTCTTGCAAACAGCAGCAGGGTTGTTGTTGTGGAGGCAGTCTTGATAGCTCTCTGTGTTACTATAAATAGGACGGATAGTCTGTCTCTTTCCTTTAAGAGGCTGTGCTGCAGGAAGAACGCCTCTGCAGAGACACGCACACACACGCGCTGAGGCACTCAAGTTTTTGAGGCTGTGGCAGAGTTGTGTGTAAATACATGTGTGTGCCTTTTTGTGAAATGTCTGCGTGTGCTGTCATGTGTGTCCAGACTGTTGTGCTGGATGTTGTTTTTATCTGAGCTGTCAAGTTCACCTGTTGAAAGACCAACCAGAAAATCCCTCCTGTCTGTCAGGCTTCATCTTTCAAAACATACTCACCTGCTCTTTTGTCTCAAATTGTGTTTGAGAACAGCTCAAGAGATCGCAGTGAAAAAACTGTACACACTGTCCACGGTCCTGAAGTTGTAACCATTTAAATTTAAGTGTAATAAAACTTCAATCCAAGGCCGGAGTATTTTCAGGATGCTCTCTTTACAAATACTGACAGTACCAAGATCCAGTTTTTGCCGTTGCAGCGTGTTTGTAAATCTGACCTTAAGACAGCTATGCATGAACAAATGTCTGCAAACCTCAATGAACTGAAGCAACACTGTAAAGAAGAGTGGGACAAAATTCCTCCACGATGATGTGACAAAACTGATGAAGCAATACAGAAAGTGATTACTGTAAGTTATTGCTGTTAAAGGTGGTTCTACAAACTACTGAGTCATGGCATTCATTTAGTTTTTCACAGGACTGTGTGAAGGTCAGCAGTTCTTTTGTGCCTGACATTGTCCTTTATTTTCAGAAGGGCCTCGTCTGACGGCACATTCCTCTCAGCAAAGGGACTGATTTGTCTCGATGCCGTCTATTTCTTCATTTCCATCAAAAAAGTCCACGTCTTGATCCACATGGTGTGAAGTGCAATAAAATATTGCCCTACAGAGCCCTGTGCCTTCTGTATGTGTGCCTTTGTGTGTCAAACAAAGTACTAAGGGGCTCCCATCCAATATTGATGAGGCAGTCTGGTGCCTGCTCTGGGCAAGAGAAAAGTGCATATTTTGGACTTTAGGTGCATGTCTGACAGCTCACCCCAATTTTTCTCCTTTCATTTTCTTTCTGTCCCTTCGTGTTAGTCTCTCGCCACACTGCTGTCCTTGATTTTGTGCCACAGTTGTTCCACTTCCCCCCACCTTTTTGTCAAGTCATGTCTCTGAACTCTCCTCCTTGTTCCAAATGCAATTTTGTGTTAAGGTCCAGCCCAAACATGTTCTCACCAGTTCATGAATAACCAGTGTTACTTCTCACATTTTCCCCCATGTACCCACACCAGTGTTTACTTCCCAGTTCAACTTTCTTTCAACTCTTCCAATTACCCATTTTTTCGTCCCATATTCCCAAATCCGTCACTCTGCTGCTCTTTCAGACTGTTGTCTCTCATTTCATCAACACATTTACCCCGATACACTCCGCCTCGTTTCCTCTCGTCTCCGTTTCTCTAACCTCATTCCCTGGTTTGTCTGTCAAGTGCTTTGTTCAGACTTGCAGTGAGCTGTGATGAGGGTGTCGTCCCCTTCATTAAAAAAACAGCTCAAAATCTTCACATTTAGCTTAAATATTGTATAAGAATGAATTTCACGCCTTTATGTCCTCATTTAAAACTTTCACGTTTATTTTTTTATCACAATCGCGTTCTTCTTGGGATTCATCCTCTTTGCATCTTCAAGTTATTTAATAGTGCTTCTATCTTTCAGTCCTTTCTTCTGTCTCTCCATTTTTTGGTCACTTGTTTGCCCCATTTCTGTAGCGTAGTTTCTGTTTTTCCCCCTCCTCTCTTTTTTGTGCCATTTGTTTTCCATCATTTCCTCTTTCTATGTTTCTTATGTTGCCCTGGCTTTCCTGCGGCACGGGTTTTTTCTAAAACAGGGGTGGGGAAATCCAGGCCTCAAGGTCCAGGGTCCTGCAGGTTTTAGACATCACATGTGTTTCCCATGGGACGGAAAGGTGTAGGAAGAAGGTACAGAGTGTAATAAATGACTTCCTGTTTCACATATACAGTCATGTCAAAAAGAAACTAAGTAACCCTCTAAGATTTAGTCATTTGTAAAACCATCTTTAGCAGCAATAACTTGAAGTAACCACTCATTATGTCAGCACGGGGCCATCACAGCACTTTGATTCTTTTCTTTTTCAGCCATTCTGTTGTAGTTTTGCTGCTGTGCTTGAGATCATTCTCCTGTTATCTGTCACACATATAGCCTCACGTTTGACTCTAGAATATTTGGTATACAGAGGAGTTCATGGTGAACTCAGTGACTGCCCCTCCACCACCGTGCATGACAGTTGGTTTTCACCAAGCGTGGTGTTCAAACATCTCCGCTTTGTTTTTGTCTATCCAAAGTATGTTGTTCTAGAGGTCTGTGAACTTTGCTGACCTGATCCGTGCTGCCACGTTCTGCTGTGGTTTTGTCTGTCTTTCCAACTCTGTCAGACTAAAATGAAGCAACTGGAGCAGGAAGCACACCGAGCAGCTGGACAAATATTTCTGTTGACCAGCAACACTCAGCTACGAACAGTACGTACCTTCATGTGTACATCTGGATACTGTGTGCAGTATATGGCTTTTCTGTGTCTGTGCGTGTGTATACCGTGCATATGCAAACGTTTGTATTCTTCTACGCTTTGCGTCTGCTTCATGTTTTGTGGATGTTGTGGATTTACAATGTTTGTAGATTCTGTTTGAGAAGCTGCGTCTTCATGAGCGCTGCGAAAACAAGAAGCTTCCCAAGACCATCGGCAAACAGCAGCAGTCAACATCCGAAGCTGCAGTATGACACACACGTGTATAGACACAGACAGATATTTCAGTTTGACCCTCAGTTCTCTGTGAATCCAAGAAATGTCTTTAGATTAGAGACAAAGATTTATTTTTTTCATGTTTAGATGTTTCCCCTCAAACTTCACTGCACAGTCACTGTTCTTAGTCACGTCTCTATCTCTGTACAAATATACATGAGTCAATCACAGCTGACGACCGAATCGCGGAATAGTTTCATCGGCTAAAGCGTCGTAAGCAGCGAGCCTCCTGATTATTAGCCCGACTTTTGTTTCATGTCAGTCTTTGGTTCATTTTACCCACATTTTCTGCCTATTTGAGCTTTTGCTATCTTTTAAATAGTTTTATATGTAACAGCCCTCTTATAAAATTCATCTGTTCCCAGCTTTTAGGGCTTTAATACGTGTACCTCCTTCTTGTATGACTTTAGAATTAAAAAGAAGGTGATATATATATTATGTCATTAAAAGCTCCTTAGTTATATATAGTAGCCCTAATCTGGCCTCCTGGTGGTAGTGTGCTAACTTAATGGTGAAAATGATGTAACCCTCCCAGGAGAGAAAGTCTAATGGATTGAATGTAGACTGTTAAGGAGCAGAAGATTGACAAGCACTCAGGTCTGACCAACTTGGTATGTGGCAAAACCACTTAACTCTAAAATTTGTATATCAAATCATGAAAACAAGAAATTGCGCTCTTAAATCAAAGGACCTAACTCTTGAATACCCACCAAGAAAACTGTACTAAAATACAGTGCGTGCCCAAACATATTCATGGCAGTGAATAGAGAAAAACATCTGAAATTACCACCAATAAAGATCAATGTGGACAATTTTATAGTAATTATTAGTATTTGGAGATCACAATTATTTGTTAATTTGAGTGAAAAAACATTTATATTGCACTTTGATGTAAATATAACACTGCATTCCTGCTATTGTCTACATGTTTGCATCAAAATAAAATTGTTCCTTCTTGTTCACATACAATCATCTTAAATCATCTAAATTTAAGCAATGTCATGATTTTACACTTTTCATACCCAGAGAACAAACAGCTGTCTTGTAAAGATTTATTTACAAGTGTGATAAAAGCAGCGATAGACTGTGGAAGAATGGACTACTGATTTAGAGAGTTGCAGCAACTGAAAAGGTTTGAAAAGGCTGAGGCATTACTGGTGAGTGCAGAGAGGCTGAGCTCGGGAGCAGGTCGGAGGCCCGGGGTGAGCAGCTGGGTATCAGTGGAGAGTGGGCAGACAGGCTAGTCACAGATAAGACTGAGAAATCCACTGGCAGTATTTGGGTGTGTGGGTGACAGAAGCTTCGGTCAAGGGAACACTGGCTGACTTTCCAAAAACAGGCAACATGCTTCAGGCGGGGAAACTGGGAGAAAAACAAAGACACAGGGTTAGAGGCAGGAACAGAGAAACAAACACTAGACTGAGTGAGCCAAGATACCACAATTGTGGACATAATGAACTGGCACATAACAACAGCCAGACCCTGTCCTTAAAAAACACAGCCACAATAAAGGGATTTACAAGAGGTGTGGAAGCAAGCTCGTGTAGGGCAGCACAGACCAGCTGAAGTCTGCATATGAAATAACAAAGCACAGAGGAACCTGCCCCAACCCTAACAAAACTTAGCACAAAATAATATGACTACTTATACACTGTACTGCATTCCTGTTAATTAAAACAGCTTTACAGAAAATTTTGTTCATGTGCATGTCCTAGAAGCAAAATATAAAGACTTTCAATCGATTTTCTTTTGTACCTGACACGAAAGGCACAAAAATGCAGCTTTTCAGTCTTTGTCTCCTTTCTTTTTGTTGCAGTTGCTGCAGCTTCAGGACCTGCACCCTCTGCCAAAAATAATCCTGGACTACAGGCAGGTCTGGCATGTTCATTATTATTATGAATCATCATTATTATGAAAAATGAATGAATGGGAAATTCACTTCTTGAGCAGGAGCCCCTAAAAAACTGGGCGGTCACTGTTGAGCTCTGTAGAAATCAGTTTCATTTTTGTCAGTCAGAAAGGATTATCCAGGTTATGTTCATTGGCCAAAATCACAAATCATTAAATAATGATTATACAGTTCCACTACCAGATGAGACAAGTGGGACTTCTCTAACCAATGGGTGTGTTGTTTTGACCTTATCTGTCTTTTATACTATGATGTTTTCTTCCCAAGTTATTAAATCTGTTCTTTTTAAGATGATCATTGTTTAGCTTTACCTTTTGGGGGTTACATAAGGTATAGAGATAAAGTGTTTTATTGTAACAAATAATTGCATTGTTGTTCACAGGTTCGCAAAATCAAATCTACTTTTATTGATGGGATTTTGTCGTGCATGATGAGCAAGGTGAGTCAACTCTGTTTATACACTATTTTGCTAAAAGTATTCAGTCACATCCAAATCATTGAATTCAGGTGTTCCAATCACGTCCGTGGCCACAGGTGTATACAGTCAAGCACCCAGGCGTGCAGACTGCTTCTGCAAACATTTGTGAAACAATGTTTGTTCCTAGGAGCTCAGTGAATTCCTAAGTGATATGATGCCACCTGTGCAACTCCAGGCCTGAAATTTCCTAGCTACTAAATATTCTACAGTCAGCTGTTAGTGGTATTATAACAAAGTGGAAGTCATTGGGAATGACAGCAACTCAGTCACAAAGCATTAGGCCACATAAAATCACAGGGCCAGGGATCAGCCCTGTGCTGAGGCACATTTTGCTCAGACGTGACCAACGTTCTGCAGAGTCTTACAGACCTCTAAGCTTCATATGGCCTTCAGATTAGCTCAAAAACAGTGCACAGAGAGCTTCATGGAACGGATTTCCATGGCCGAGCAGCTGCATCCAGGCCTTATTTTACCAATGTCTTCCTGCAAGAACAGTCAAAAATTCCCATAAGCACTCCTAAACCTTGTGGAAAGCCTTCCAAGAAGAGTTGAAGCTGCTATATCTGCAACAGGCAAAACCTTATGGGCTAGGAATGGGAAGTGACTCAATTTTATATGTGTGTGAAGGCAGACGAGCAAATATTTTTGGCAGTACATCCCAAAAAACTTGCTTCTTTTCAACGGGTCAAAGCGTTTTTAGTGGGAGAAGCATTTCATGACTCATCCAAGTTACTTTTTGGAATTTCCTTACATGGATGATTGAACATGCATCTTTTTGCAATACAAACTTTCTACAAAATGTATAAAAGGTAAATGTACTCAGTCCACTGGCACTCTTTTTTTCTTGATGTGGATTTTTTTAGACTTTTTTGTGAGACTGAAACAACAAAAACTCGAGAGTGAAACCAAAGGTTTAGAAGTTGCTGCAGGCTAGAAGGACTCCTGCAGCTCCCACAGCTTTTGTTTTCATTTGCTCACAGTTTGCTGCTGCGTCAGTGCACTAGAACAGTAATTTATGCTGCTGGACAAACCCGTGTTTTTCCTCTTCACCTTTTAAATTCAGCTGCCGGTGTGAATGTCACCATTTCTCTGAGGCTGTGACAAGATGTGGTTTCACAGCTCCTGAAACAGAGTCATCACAAGTGTGGATGAGCTCTGCTGTGCTGACTTATTAGTGAAATAGTGAAACATGTTGTCTGAGTTGGACTCTCGGAAGCTGTTGGTCTGTTTTATTGCCACTGCTGTATTCATTTGGCAGAAGAGAGATGTATCTCTGTGCCTGACTGTCCCTCCACATGGGCCTCTTTCAAGCCTTGTGCATGGGAGCAGCAGCTTGTGTTTGTCAATCTGTGCTTACTCAACCGTGCAAATGAGTCTGCCTGGTGTTCTCCAAAGCTTTTTGGCTTCGGATCATCGTGATTCATTTGGCGGCATTTTGGAAAAAAGCTGGCAACAACAAATGTATACAAATTTCTACTCAGTCATAACTTGAGTATTTGTGGTTTTATAAAATAGATTTCTGTAAAGTGTAAAATGTCACAACTACGTGGACCCTGTGGCTGACACCACAACATCGAATGACGTTTTATTCGCACTTACAATAAAAAAAGAAAGATTTAGGAAAACTAGAAAACACCACATCCGAAAAGAAGGCAAGAGTCAGAATGGAGCCACAGTTGAAAGAGTCAGATGCCAGAGTTGGATTAGACGTAGATATAAGGAGTAAAGAAATGAGGGAAGTAAAAAAGCCACATGAGGAACTAACCTTGAAAGTGAATGTGAATAAATTCTGACAGACAAACAATGAGGCACAAGCAGTGGAGATCAGTAAAAGTGAATGGGGGAAAACTAAGAATACTACAGAAGCCATACAGACAGAGAGACCATGAAATAGTAGCAAAGGTCTGCTGCGTGGGACCTTAGCTACTATATGCTGTAATTATCTTGTCGTCTAATTTATTAGGTTAATAGGTTTGACAGTGTGCAGATGTTTGGGTTACATAACTACACTGCAGTCTTGAGCACTATAGTGTTGTTTTTGTTGGTGCTGTTGATGTTTTGTCGTGCTTATTGCAGCAACATAACTGGCACCCTACTCTGCAAGCAGCTTGTTCAGATTGGGCATGGCACTGTTGAAGGCGTGTGGGTCCAAACACGGGATCAGAGTGATCAGGGCAATCAAGACCGCAGCTGTTGTTTTCAGGCTGTTTTTGGCTATATGGAAACATTAGTGATAACATAGCTGACTGAGATGTTCATGTGATAATGTGTTGAATTTACAGGTTCTCCCTGTTTTTAATTCATATTTGACTCCCTTTTGTCTCTTCATGTCAGAGCTACATTTCCTCTACGTGGCACCAGACCAGTGTTGTGACTGGGAGAATCTCTGCAAAACACCCAGTAAGTCAAACTTGCCTTGCATTCCTACCCATCTCTCCCAGCCTTCATTGCACTGGAATTAGTTGATACATCTTGGACTGTTAAAACACTGCAACAGGATTAAGCATCCTTGGAGGAGCTATCCATGGTTCTGAATTGGGAAAATTCAGCGCACTGAATTGGGAAAGTTTCTTTCTAAGAGTTCAAGGCACATGCATAGAATACCTAAAAGACCACATCAATGTGCATTAGTAGAAACAGAAACGCTGGATTATATCTATGAGAAATTAAAATTTGGCATTTTAATGACTTACAGCGCAAAATATTTTTACATTTTTATGGAGTGAGGAAAGCCTTTTTCAGAGCTTTTTGCTTAAAGTATTTAAACAGAAATAATATTTGAAAAATCTCACGAAAGATTTGTACACACACACAAATCTTCTGCTCGTGGATTTCTAAGATCCTAACAATCTTCTCCTTTTTGTGTTCTTTATAACTAAGCTTTCATTGGCTAGTTCTTTCTGGCTTTCTCCCTTGTCAGAGAAACTCCTTAAGGAAGCTGACTGCATAGTAATTACATGCTCAGTCGTGAATGCTGAGTTCTCATAGAAACAGATGTTTTGGGATTGTTGTGTAACAGCAAGCTGGAGGTTTCTATGAGCTGCGTTTTTTTATGAGGTGTAGCTGAGAGACAGCAGCTCAATGTTTAAAACATGAGTGTGAATAAAGGGGCGGGTGTTGGACGCCTGGCTGATAGGGAGCATGTTGAGTTAGAATGGCTTTACAGAGTCAGAGAAATAGTCCTGCTGAAATATTCATACATCCTGGAGCAAAGAGCAGGTGAGGCACAAAGAGGAAGACTTCATTCTAAGAAGACATTCGTTTTTTTGACAGAGTTGATAATTATCATTTTCTTGCTGTTATCCTCTATGGTATGAAAATTAGTTAGAAGCTATATATACCTCCCCTTTTTATCAGGCAGTCGTTGGCTTCAGTTGTCTTTGCAATATAATATTCTTGGTAGAGATATTAGAAATGTGGTCTGTGTAACTAGTAAATCAAATATGAGGCCTAGGGGCCAGAACCAATGCGTGAAATGGGCAGATTCTGTCCACTGAATGACTTTGCAAAGTGTGAAAACTGCAGCGAGTTCGTTAATTATTCAGATTTTTCATAAAATGCACTGGCATTCATTCTGTGGTGATGTCAGAGCTAATGAAAGTTAAAAGTGCTGGATCTGGATTTGTTGTTTGAATCATAAAAATGTTAAATACTTTATGCCGAGTGTGTGAAGTGTAATGACAGTAGACTCAATCAAGTAGAAAACAGATATAAATTGTTGATTTTCCGAATGTAAGCAGTAACATCTCAATAAAGCAACTGGTGTTGTTGATGTTTTTAAACTGACTTAAATTATTATGCAGTGGTTTTCCTGGCCTAATTCACTTGTCCTGTCAGTCCACAGAGCATTTTGCCCAGCCTCTTTCTTATTGCTGAATCATGAACTCTGACCTTTACTGAGACACGTGAAGCCTCTGGTTTTTTAATGTTGTTCTGGGTTCTTTTGTGGCCTCCCGGATGAGTCATCGATGTGCTCTTAGAGTTATTTCTGGAGGCCGGACACCCCTGGGAAACTTCACCACTGTTCCAAGTTTTCTCCATGTGTGTTCACTGGAGTCTCAAAGCCTTTGAAATGGTTTTGTAACCCTTTCCATACTGATAGACGTCAGTGACTTTGTTTCTCAAGTGTTTCTCTAGATCATGGTGTGATGCGTTGCTTTTTGAGCTCTTTTAGCCTGCTTCACTTTGTCAGACAGCTTCTCTTTAAGTGATTTCTCGATTCAGCAGGTCTGCCAGTATTCAGGCCTGAGTGTGTTTAGTGAAAGTGAACCCATCTTTCCAAAAAAAAAAAAAAAAGTGGTTAATCACAGTTAATTCACGATTTAACAAGAGGCACAAATTAGTTTTTCACACAGTACCAGGTGGGTTCGGATAACTTTTCTCTCTTAATCAATGCAATCACCATTTAAAAACAGCATTTTTTGATTTTTCAAGTTGTCTTTGTGTAATATTAACATTTTTTGATGATCTAAAACATGTACGTGTAATAAATATGCAAAACACCAGGAATTCAGGAAGAGAGCAAACGCCTTTTCACACCACTGTTTTGTTCAGTTTCAAAGCCTGTGGTAACCTCGCTAAAAAAAACTAAAGCCTAGTGTTTTAGGCAATTATCCAATTACAATGTAATTGGTACAAAAGTAAAGGGATACCCAGTCCTTTGTAAGATTGCACACAGATGGTGCTGAGGTCATAGATTAATGAAGAAAAACCTCAGAAAATTATAGTTGTCGCCCAGTACTCTTTGATACAGTTTTTTTATTGAATTGATTCTTTATATTTTTAAGTAAGATGCCACATTAAGGTGGCATTTTGAAATAACACACACACTATCAGTATTAACAGTGAAGGTAAACACCCTCTGTTTAATAGTTTGAGCCAAATGCACTCAGTGCTTTTTCTGTAATTGTAAAGCTTTATTTCTGTAAGCCTGAGAAGTTGGGCTGGGCCATATCGTACCGTTCACGGTAATACCGGTATAATGTTGGGCAACGATAAGAATGAAATATCACCATAGAATATGGGTCAAACGCGCATGCGCAGTGCCTTTGTTTTCATACGCACGTGGCGGAAAAACCATGGCGGCGATAAGAATGAGAAGGGCGAACGAGGATCATTGAATGAAACGGATGAACCAGAACTGGTTTGGCTTTCGTCCGTCAGATACACAACAAAGCACTATTTTTGGTAGAGCATGCTAGTGGGCTGTTGTTATTACCGTGTCTTTTGGAAAATACGGCACACTTTAAATCAACCCTTTGATTTCTCTTAAAATCGACAGTTCCCCTTACCTTATAATCCCGTGTGCTTTATGTATGAATTCTGGTTGTGTTTACTGACCTCGAAACGATTTTATGTACACGGCGCTCGAAAATCTGTCAAATGTTTTAGTACGATTTTGCTAAGCTACGAACCCGCACCACTTGATGGATTGTCGGAGCATTACGGCCATCGCAGGCAGGAGCCTTGCAGAGTGATACGTACTGTGCTTCAACATAAAATTACCGTATTGTGTGTATAACCTCTTTTTACGTTTTGTGGATATTATACATGGTTATGCTGAGGATATGTCGGCCCGTTTCCACTGGAAATGCCTTTTGGTTAAACTGCCAGCAAGGAATTTGCACTTAGACTGTTAAATTTTTATGTAGCTTTAATGCACATAAAAAACAGCTGCTTGTTTAAGTGAAAATACACTGATGGGGTTCTTTTGCACTAATAAAGTTGTGGAGTTGTAAAGTATTTTGTCTAGTGTCAATTATATCGTCAGTTATATCGTTATCGCAAATTTTCAAATGTATATCGTGATAAATATTTTTGGTCATATCGCCCTGCTCTACTGAGAAGCTGTGCTGATGGCTTTCTGTGATTAATTTAGCAGCATTTCTATGTACTGTTGAAAAGCATTTGAAAAGTCACATCATCAGTTTCAGTGGTTCATTATAAAAGCCAATTTGAAGGCTGCATATGATCGAATTGTGGGAATGAAAATAAACTTGACGCTATGACAATGAAATAATAAATATAAATAAAAATACCTGTAATAAATAATATTATAAAACAGACAACTGCAAAAAAGTACTTCGACTTCTGTCTCGGTATGGGGAGGTCGATAGCTCATTTCAACAATACTCAGCTGTCAGGCTCCGCTGGTTCTTCTCCTGTTAGATCCTCTCCAAGCCTCAAAGACACTGAACGTTTCTAATCTCACCGAGCAAATTGTGAGCGATGTGAGCTACACATTGAATTGATTGTGCTGCTACTAAATGATATATGTGACTGTGGGCGGCTGTGGTTTATCACTGCTCTGTTCCTGCTGTTACTCAGATGTGGGATTTGGATGAGCATCCTATTAAGCGTGTGAATGCTTGTGGTTTGTGCTGTGCGCCAGTGTGGTCTTTAGTGATTTTATTGTACTGTGATAGTAATTTGTTCCCAACAATAAATAATACAAGGCAATATGGATGTGCCCATGTTATGTGGAAGTTTAATGACCAAATGATTAAAGTACATGCCATGTATATTTACTCTTGTTTTCCTATTTCTATTGCTACAGAAATAGAGGTCATAGTGGCCTTTGCTTCATGTTGTCCTAGGTTTTTTTTTGCCATGTTTGCTTCCAAACTCTTATTGCCACAGCCAGTACATGCTAAAAATGCCCAAGGAATTGTTATGCCATGCTTTTCCCTCAGAATACTAGAAGAGTGAATTGTTTTAGTATATGTTTTCATGTTTATTAATGTTACAAAAAAGATAGTGTGCTCGCCTGTTTTTTTTCTATAACCATCATCCTGAATCCAACACTGTGGCTCTAAAAGCCTGACAGACACTAGCGATACTCATCTAACAGCCATGGACGGTGGGCACTTCCTCCTAGAGTGCAAAATTATCCACAACATCATAAAATAATTCACTTTGACCACTAAAGGGTGTAAAAGATGGATACAGCCAACGTGGAAGTGCTGGTATTCCTCTCTGATCAGTACCAGGGGGCAATACCTGTGGTTACAAACAAATGTTCTCTCTTGTAGAAGAGTATGAGAACATGGCCCTCTGCCCCGACCTCTGTAAACGCTTTTGTGATGACTTCATGGGTCATTCTAAATGTCAGAAATTTCACAGTTTTGCAGTTTTGATATACCAGTGGTACTTTTTTTTAAGCGAAAACACAGTTTCCACTGGAGCACACATTAGTAAAGCTGTTCCTAAGCTACAGTGATAAAAAAGACTCAGCTCAAGACTTCAGAAACTCATGGTGAAGTAACAATGGCTACCGCCATCTTTTATACTGTTTATGGTTTGACCCAATCACAGAAGCTTATAGCAAGATATACGCCAATCTTTGAGTAATACAATAACAGCGCAGTTCAAATAGGAAATATCAGTATATTATGGTAATT